CCCCCCACCCTCGGCCCCTCCTGGTGCAGCCTGCCCTAACCCGGCATGAGGGGCACAGGCGCCCCTGCCTCCCCTCCCACCCATGAGGCCCTCCCAGTTCAGAGCCCCCTTCTCTCCCCAGGGGCACAGGCGCCCCTGCCTCCCCTCCCACCCATGAGGCCCTCCCAGTTCAGAGCCCCCTTCTCTCCCCTCCCAGTTCAGAGCCTCCTTCTCCCCCCTCCCAGTTCAGAGGCCGCTCCTTCCCCCTCCCCACAGTCCACCCCCTTCCCCTTGTAAGTAAAAGTGTGTTTTTGTAACTCAGTGCATGATATTTATTGGGAGGTGAGGGAAGGGTGGCAGGAAGGGGTGGTGATGTGAGTGGGAGGTGGAGGCACGGGGGGAACCCTGCGGGTTCATCTGCCGGGCGCCAGCCATCTGCGGCTGCTGGTAGGCCTGGCCCTCACCTGCCATCCACCCCGGGAGGAAGGCCTCTCTCTTCCCCTCAATAATATTATGCAGCACACAGCACGCTGAGATGCACCCCCATGTCCAGGCGGGTCAGGAGGCACCTGAACCGTGCCTTCAGGCGCCCGAAGCCGCACTCCACGGGGTTGCGGGCCCAGTCCAGGTGGACCTTAAAGGAGGCCTGGCTGCAGTCCAGTTGGCCCATGTATGGCTTTATCAGCCAGGCCATTGCCATCGGGGGTAGTGCCACATCCCCTAAGATGCAGACTGGCATCCTGACCTCCTCAATGGTGAATTCCCACTGGGGGAAGTAGGTGCCTGCCTCCAGCCTGTGGCACAGGCCTGAGTGCCTGAAGATGTGAGCATCATGGGCCTGGCCGGACCACCCCACATAAATGTCCTGGAACCGGCCCTGGTGCTCCGCCAGCGCCTGGAGCACCACTGAGCAGTAGCCCTTCTGGGTTATGAACCGGGCCATTCAGTGCTCTGGCACCCGGATGGGGATGTGAGCTTCAAATATGTGGCTAAAAAGCTACAAGGCAAATGAAAAGAATCCCAAATGTGGTGTTATAAAAATCTCTTGTTGATGGCGCAGACGACCTGCAGAGGCGCTCATGAGAGCACAGGGGATGC